CAGATGGGCAACCTTTAAACAGTGCCCTTCCAACTTTCAGAGGGCACCACCTCAGGTTCACCCCAATATGTTAGGTGGCAAATGGGAGAGATGTGGGGGGCTCCGTGTACTACACTTTATCTCTAAATTTCATCAGTTGATTGGGCCAGTAGCTCCTTCAAATAGCCAACCTGAGGGCTACAATTGTCCTGTGAACAGGGACATGACTCAGTCTCAGGAGCATAGGATTTTCCTATTTCGTTATAAACACTGAAATTATATTGTACATTCACATTAATGCAGAGAGGGAATGAACACAACAGACAAGAGTCAGGTTCTTCTGGAGGGGATGAAGAAAGGGCAGATGGGACTTTAAGTCAGTGTCTAGGCCAGGGGATGATGATGCAGTGAGTTAACAGCTGAAATGTTCATGGATCTGGCAAAAAATGCCAAAGACAGACCCCCTCAAATAAGGCAACTTGCATGCTCACTTTGCTACCATAAATAAATTACTACAGACTGTGCATCATAAGCCAATTGTTCACTGAACTAGAACAAGCAGTATCAGTTCTGAAGTTAGATTATTTATGCAACCTTTCAGGAAATAGCACAGTCGAGCTCACTTTAAGTGAGCCTATACAACCCTTAACTTCACAAAACAAAAGTGACACTTGTTTGTGATGTGCAGTTACATTAAAGAAACTGAATTTATAAACCTTTCAGAAGCAAAACAAGATTAGTCCCTCTAGCTAAAAAAGGCTGAGATTTACAGTGGAAGGTACTGTAATCAATTAGATGTTATTGCAAGAAGTCCACTATTTAAATAAAAGCATTTGTTCTTTTTTTCCTGATGAGGTTATCTTATCAGGATTCAAGTGTTTTACATCAGCACACTGAAATTATGTGTAACGAACAAGGATGTTCAAAATAAATTCTAAAAATGACAAAGCAAATGCTTCCTTTAACTGTAAACAATGTGACTGAATCCACTTCTTGAAGAAATCAAGCTATATTTATATTCACCCTGCTGAAATGCTACAGACAACCATAGAAGGATAAGTTTATAATAAATTGCTATATTTGGAAACCTTTGTTGCTAAGCATCTTCTAACATTCAGCACAGTTTATATCATTCATGTCCCTGCTACATAATTAACATTTCATATGTTTTCCAAAAAAGTGCAGTGCTTATCTTGTTGTTAATTTAAAACCATTATAAATTTTTAGGGAATTAATAAAAGGCTGTGTGGCCAATTAATTAGAGTGGCAGCATGATCCCAGGGGAATACAAACAGACATTATATGCAAGGATACGTCACAGCCTATCTTCTAAACAGCATGTCTGTTTGAGATAAAACACTTCAGAACGCAGCTGTTCATGCTACAAAGGTAGTCTACGAAGCAATTTAGGACACAATAAACCTCCTCTAGCCCTAAAACCATGGCTGTGTTAACTGAGTTTAGAATTAGGCCCGACTCCTGCAAAGAGTTCTCTACACATGGATCACTGAGGTGACAGAGCTCCACTGAAATCCATGTGAATCTGCTACATGAAACTCCTTGCAAGTCTAGGGCCACAGAGCTTGATCCAATTTAAAGTAGATGTAAGTCTTTCCAAAATTAACTGTTCACTGTATGTGAATCATCTATTTCAGGAGGCTGCAAGACGTGCTTTGCTCATGGCTTACACAGCTTATTGTGAGAGGGTAGAGCAGTGCTTTTCCATTTGCAGACCTCTAACGTTTGTTTTTTAATTTGTGGATCCCTAAAAATGCTGAATGGAAGTGCAGACCACTTTGGAAATAGAGACATAATGGGTATCCACAGACCACTGGTTGAAAACCATTACCGGAGAAGAACATTCTGAATCAGGAATCCTGGTTTCTCTTTCTGGCTCTTACCGGGAGTGGAGGGTCGTGATTACAGGTAACACAACCATGCACGTAAATCAGACATATTTAATATGAAAGGTCGGGTGCCGAACCTAAGGGAATGAAACTTGCCATGTTATAGATGGCAAAGTGACCTCATGTAGTCTTTCAGGATGTCTACTTTGTGCTATAATGCAGACTACAAGGGGGTATGAATTGCAGAACATGCTAAAATGTTGTACTCTTAACTGTGTCATGTGGATATGGCTGGCATGAACTAAAAGATACCTAGTTGGCATTAACATAGTCTTCTTTCAAATAAGACTATATTAATGTAAAGAAGGTACCTTTTCATTCACACCATCAGCGTCCAAAAGGGGCAGTTAGAGCACAACATCTTGGTGTGCTCTGCAATTCAAATCCCCATAGTTCACTGAGCAGCACTGTGTGGACAAGCCCTTAGTTACCTCATTTGTAAAATGTATAATACTTGCCTGTGTCCTAACATGTACCCTGCTCAACAATCAGGCCTAAGAAGTGCTGATAACCAACAGTCATAGTAATGCCACCTCTCATGGTTTTATTGTGAGCCTAATGACATTTGATGGTTTTTTCCTGTAACATAGAACAGGAGTGAATACAGGTCCAATTTTTGTGAAAAAAAATCAAAACCAGGTTTTAAAAAAATTTAAATTAGACTTTTAAAATTCAAGTAAATGAATAACACTTTTTCTTTTTAAAAATAAACCCATTTAAAATGAAATCTGAATGTAATCCAAAATATATGCTAAGGACTAAACTTATCATCTCTTTAAACATTTAAATACAAAATAAATATACTGAATCCATAAGCCTTTATCAAAAAGTGAGCTAAAGGCTTCTTTTAGAAAGAACGAGAGGAAAAATATCTAAATTTATAAATATAGCACAACAGGTCAGAAACTTTAATAAAGACTTATTTTGTATAATAAAAATGAATGTTGCTGTATGTATTTAATTAAATTCCAATCACCATCCTAAGAGAGACTGATACAAATGATGAGCAAAAAGTTAATTATCTATTAAATAACTGATATATCATTCACTTTTTACTAACATATTAAACATTTACAATTAATAAGAATCTGAAATATTAAGTCATATAATCACTTATCTGCATGTAGTTACGGAGCACCCTCCTCAACAGCAAAAATATGTACCAGATCTGATGTAAAGGCTCTATTTAGTTATAAACTAATATGTTCTAATGGTCCTCAAACAAACCAAACCAAACCATATCATTTCCTTAGAAAATAACTGAAATACACATGGAAAAGTTAACTAAAATAGATGATTTAAAAATAGAGTCTTTTCACTCAAAGATTTAAATCATAATATAAGTTATCTTGATTTAATTCAATGACCCTAGAAATTAGTGACACTCTTGGGGTTCTCTCTCTCTTTTTTTTAATAAAACAAAACTATATTTCTAATCTTCTTAGATGCAAAGATTGAAAATGTGTCCCCCGTGTATCTAATATGATAAAAAAAATCATAAGGGAAAATAAAAAGAAACCTAAATGTATTATGTTTAAATATTTCATAGTTCTAGTGAGTTAAAATAAACTAAATGAAGGCCGCTTTTATTCTAAATGTTGATGTCCACACACAGAGGTTTAATGCATTTTAATTAATCCATTTCTCATTCGTTCTTTTAGTTAATTTGGATTACTCTTCTCTAGTGTCCCCATATAGACAAGCCGGTAGGAAAAACTGGGTTAGATATACTGGTAAATGTTTAAAAATAGACCTGTTTGTTTTTAATGAAAAATTATAGAGACTTTCGATTTTTCATTTTGCAAAACCAAGGATTTATATAACTTCAAACCCTTTAAACCAGGAATGGGAAACTTCAGGTCTGGGGGGCAAGATGTGGCCCCTGACTTGTGTGGATTTTGCCCCTGAGACTCAGGGCTTCCCCCCCACCCCCAGCATTGATGATCCCGTACTGGTGCTCCAGCTCTCTGTCTGGCTTATGTCATTAGAATATTATTCTTAGAATTACAGAACAAATAGAAATAATTTACCAATTTTTTTTCCCCATAAAAATAAGCACTTAAATGTCTGAAATGTGTAAACACCAGGGAGGGAGAGTTAATGTATTATACAGGGACATAACTAATGGGAGAATACTAATCTATGAAAACTTGGGGTGAATACTAAGAAACACTCCTAGACAGTGAGATGTATTAGGCTGTGAAGTAGTGTCCTAAGAGAAGAGATTCAAACCCATTGCTTGAGACTTCAAAATAAGGCAAAAACAAAACATTAGAAAATGTAGCAGAAGGAAGAATTTGTTGCTGGCAGGGGATGGGTTATCCTGTGTATGCAGATTTTTTTCCATCTCCCATTTTTATGTATCTGTCATGAGTATGCCATTTATTTTACAAGCTACCAAAAAAGATACTTTAAGAATGTTTTCATTCCTTTTTTAATTTTTTTGAGGAGGAAAAATAAAATTAATCTGCACAAAGCTGTAAGGGAAAGACTGTATCTTCCTCCAGCAGAGGTCACTCTAGGATAACAATTTATAATTATCATAACAGGAGACTTTTAATATAAAAAGCAAAAGTTGACATGGGTATTTTATTTATTTATTTAAAATTTAAGTGCCTGTTAGAGGCCTGGCAGCGTGGAGGCTCTCTATTTGTCCATAGAAAACATATGGCTTAGGGCAGAAGCAGACCAATATTCCATGTACTACTCCCCTCTAGTGGAAATAAGAGTATTTCAGTCTTCAGTCTAATCCACTTAGTCCCTGACTAGACAACAAAAGTGCCAGCAGTGAAAAAGGAGCTGAGAATAGCCAGAAGGGAACAGTCATGAGAGGACAACTTTTAGTCTCAAATAGGCTGGGCTAGAGTCAAACTGTTGGAAGGAAAACAAAAGGCTCCATATCCCATTACCAATGCCCTTACCTACCTCAGTTTCCCAACTGTCTATTTACTTGCTTACTTTTCCATGTGGATTTCGTTACAAAACTTTACAAAAATATGAAGACAAAAATTGTGTTGTTGTAAGTCAGACTGCAAGAGTACAGCCTGTATTATTTGCAGATGGATGGATTTTTAGAGAACGTGAACTCACGACGGGACAAGGAGTATAACTCACCTGCTTCTTTACACAAGGCTGCTAAGTCTGCTCCCACGTAGCCATGTGCACTATCAGCCAGCTGCATCAATTCTGTTGTAGTCAACAGATGAGGAACCTTATAAAGAAGTTTTCTGAGGATGTCTAATCGGTCCTGGGCATTGGGGACCCCGATTTCTATCTCTTTATCAAAACGTCCAGGTCTACGTAATGCTGCATCCAGGGCATGCGGACGGTTTGTAGCACCAAGTACCAAAAGTTGCCCTTCACTATCTTCCTAAATGAGACAAAACAAACAGAAAAATAATGTAGGTTTTTAAAAGGGTGTTAAAGCACCACACAATTTACACATTTCAACCTCCCTTATAGGGAAGTAAAAGTTGAACTGGTTAACCAATTTACCAAAGCTTGTTGGTTTTGGTTAACAGTTAAACCCTGGGTGGTCCCAGCCAGGTTTCAGTGGCCCCTTGTCCCTGTCTACAAGTCTATTAAATCAGAGCCAAATCATGCAGTAGAGCAGGATACTGGACTGGAAATTATAAGACCTATGTTTTAGCCACACTCTCCTATTGTTCTATTAAAGTTGTCTTTCTTAATTCTCTTCACTTTTCTTTTTCTTCAGTTTCCCCATCTGAAAAATGGAGATGAGGATAGTCACTCTCCTTTAGATAGCCTCCCCAATTATCACCTCTAATACCATTAGCTCACTGACATTTACCTTCCCCTTCCCCTCCCCCGCCCCCGCATCCCCCTTCTGTTCTGAAATTTGATTTGTCCTATTCTTATGTGTTCATTTTTTTTAACTGTATCCTTTGGTATATATGGTTGTGACTGTTTTCTTCCACTATTTGATCTGAGGAAATGGGTCTGGCCCACGAAAGCTCATCATCTAATAAACCATCTTGTTAGTCTTTAAAGTGCTACATAGTCCTGTATTGTCTTTCTACAGTGTTTTCAGCTCTACAGAGAAACAGCTCTATATAAGGTCTATGTAGTGTTATCATTTGTTAAGAGAGAGATTTGAAAGTGCGGTGTTTAAAATGTCCCTAGAGAGACTCTATTCTCAAAAAGAAGATCCATCAGTCTTTGGCTAATAGGAAATCTCTCTTACCTACAGCCATATGCAGGGAGCTACATGAGATGCTAAAACTTTATGCAGGAGATTAAGGGAAATTCGCAGTTAACACCCAGAGTTCCCTTTAAACTGCGCAGCAGCACAGCTTCACAGGTGATTAATCAGGCCCACCCAGTCAGAGGCTTAGGACTCAGTGCAGGGAGCTGACTGGGCAGAGCTGATTAATCACCTGTGAAGCTGTGCTGCCAAGCGGCTTAGAGGGAACACTGTTAACATCCACAACATATTCATACACATTGTGTCTAACTGTGGACAAACATACAGACCTCTCACACCAACTGTCCTTTTGATCATTAGGCAGTGGCACACCAGAAATTAAACAGATTTTATAGGCCCAAACCAAAGTTTTCTCAAGTCAACAAAAAAGACTTGACTTCATTGTAGAATAGTGATAGAAATGTAGCCGTGTTAGTCTGGGGTAGTTGAAGCAAAATGCAGGACAATGTAGCACTTTAAAGACTAACAAGATGGTTTATTAGATGGTGAGCTTTCGTGGGCCAGACCCACTTCCTCAGATCAAATAGTGGAAGAAAGTAGTCACAACCATATATACCAAAGGATACAATTAAAAAAATGAACAAATATGAAAAGGACAAATCACATTGCAGAACAGAAGGGGGATGCGGGGGGGTGGGAAGGGGGAGGAAGGAAGGTAAGTGTCTGTGAACTGATGATATTAGAGGTAGGGAGAGTGGGATGTTTGTGAGTTTATGGTATTAGAGGTGATAACTGGGGAAACTATCTTGGTAATGGGTGAGATAACAAACATTTGAACTCTCTCACCCATTACCAAGATAGTTTCCCCAATTATCACCTCTAATACCATTAACTCACAAACATCCCACTCTCCCTGCCTCTAATATCATCAGTTCACAGACACTTACCTTCCTTCCTCCCCCTTCCCACCCCCCCGCATCCCCCTTCTGTTCTGCAATGTGATTTGTCCTTTTCATATTTGTTCATTTTTTTAATTGTATCCTTTGGTATATATGGTTGTGACTACTTTCTTCCACTATTTGATCTGAGGAAGTGGGTCTGGCCCACGAAAGCTCACCATCTAATAAACCATCTTGTTAGTCTTTAAAGTGCTACATTGTCCTGCATTTTGCTTTGACTTCATTGGGCTTTTAATCAAGGCCTAAAAAACTTAGTATGGGAACTGAAAAGTTATCTTAATGTGGATTTTGGATCCCTGAACGATCTAATCCACACAAAATAAAGATATAGAACAGCACTATGAACAATGTTGTCATTTAATTTCAGAACAATCTGGAATCTATTTTAACTTGCTCAATAGATACCTAAGAAATCTTGCACTTATCTCCAAAAATCACAAAAGTGGGAGATGAGGAAGGACAGAAAGCAAATGAAAGAAAGCATGCATTCTCTCTCTCTCTCTCTCTTTTTTTTTTTTTTTTTTTTGTTGCAATTCAAAACGGTCTTGGAAGATCAAAATACACACATATACAGAATGGAGGGTTTAGTTTCTATGAAGAGCCACAACAACATGGTGCCAAAATCGGTTAAAAGAAATGTAATTTACTAAAAGAAATCACTTCATTGTACTAATTGTATAGTTAGTGAAAGAGACACGTCTTTTCTTTTCCATTAAACCTAACAAGGATATTAGATTGCAGTCTAAAATATCTTCTAGTTCATCTCCTGTTGGCCTGACTGTACTACAAAACAGTTTATTCAGTTCTTCCCCTTAATGCACTAATTGTATTAATATACTTTACTTACCGATCCAATGCCATCCATCAATGTTAGTAATGAAGACACAACTCTCTTTTCTACTTCATTCTGAGCCCCTTCTCTTTTTGGACAGAGTGCATCCAGCTCATCAATAAATATAATTGCCGGACAACTAAAAGAAAATAAATAAATAAAAGCAACTTATCTGCCAATTGTATATAGCATCATTTAAAGCATGTAGGTTTCGATTTTCAAAACTAATAGATATGGACCCCCCAATTCCCATTAAAATCAATGGGCACCCAAATCTTTTAGTTAATTGATACTTTCAGAGCTGAAGTGTGTTTCTGATACAATACATGACTCTGTAAAATAACTGCATTGTGCAATTCCAGGTGTACTGTGACTTAGTTTCTATACTGAATTTATTCTGCTTACAAGTAAAAAGATGGCTTTGCTAGTTGTCCCTGAAAACTCAAACTGAGAGCTAAAAGACAAGCTGTGTTCTCTCTTGCTCCTGACCTCCGTTGAATTTGGCCTCCAAATGAATTTAATTTACATTTTTACTGGTTAAGCCTGATGGAGAATATTTTAGTATAGAATCTAGCCCTATAGGTGCAGTCACACGTGGTTCAGATAGCCATTAAAAGCACTTGAGCGCATATTACATGCTCACAGTAATCACAGCTTTCATGTCCACTCTTAAAATTCTTATCATAAAACTCACAGTATCAAAATTCTGTGACGTATCAACAAGATTTTTGGTTTTCTGTTCACTAATGCCAGTAACAACTTTCCACCATCCTGTTTCTATGATGAAATATAGGTGAAACAGAAGTTGGGCTTCTCCGGTTTAAGCTGAGTACAGGCAGTCCCCGGGTTACATGGATCCGACTTACATCGGATCCCTATTTACAAACGGGGTGAGGCAACCCCGCACTAGCTGCTTCCCCCCAGCAGACCAGGGAGACGCGAAGCTAGCACCCCCCCCCCAGCAGACCAGGGAGATGCGGAGCGGCTTTTCTCAGCAGACACCTCAGCTTGAGAATAAAGGACTGAGGGAAGTGAGGTATGGGAGAATAAAACTGAGCTCTGGAGAAATGTTTGGCTAGAGTTTCCCCTACAATATGTACCAGTTCCGACTTACATACAAATTCAACTTAAGAACAAACCTACAGTCCCTATCTTGTACGTAACCCGAGGACTGCCTGTATCTCTTTTGGTTCAAAAGGCAGAAGATTAGAAATCAGCCCAAACTCAATTTTTGAATCTATGTGCCCTCGGAACAAAAGTAAGTAAAGTTCAGATTGGGTTCCAATCTATCTAGCTTGGGTTTCTTTCTATTGCAAATGAGAGTTCTGAGTTCTAACACAAACTAGGATAAGAATTTAATATTTCATTTAGGACACATGCTAACTGGTTTGAAGTAATATGCAACAGCCTATTGACACTACATTTATAAACGTGACCAAAACCATAACATTTGTAGGTTAGAACTTCATTAGTCTCCTTTGGACCAATATATACAAATAAACTTGTCTAAATTTAAAATATTTCTGCAGGAAAAATATTACAATCCAGAGAACCTCAGAAGCTTTTCTTTATACAATAATATTAAAAACAGTTTCACATTAAGGATGTTAAATTACGGTTGTCTGGATAATTGTGTAGTTGATACAAGTTGTAAAATGACTCGATAATGACCACTCTGCAGAGCTGTAGCGGGGGTAGCTCCTCGGAGCCAGCTCAAGCCGGGATGGAGCAGTCCCGGCTCGTGCCAGCTCCAGGAGCCACCCACTCTGCAGCTCTGCATTTTAAATGTAGTAAGACCCACCAGGTTATTACTACATTTAAAATGCAGAGGTGCAGCATCCCAGACCAGGGCAAGCCAGGACTGCTTGGTCCTGGCTCACGAGTCCAGCAGCCCCTGTTCACAGCAGCCAGCACTGGCCGCAGCAGCCAGCACTGGCCACAGGCAGGGGTTGCTCAGGAAGCAGTCCCTGGCTGTGACCAACCCTAGCTGCCGTGAACATAGGCTCCTGCCAGAGTAACCCCTGCATGTGGCCTGTCCGTGGGGGGGGGGAGTGCCTAGCTCCCAGTTGGGAAGCTCACAGACAGAGGATGCTGCCAGAGCAGCCTCTGCCTGCAGTGAGCCTCAGCCTGCCATGGGCAGAGGCTGCTTCACAGCAACCTCCTCTATTCCCCCCACTGTCTCTGATAGAGGCAGCCAGGGGGGGGGGCCGGCAGCACCACAGGGACAGTGCTGAGGGGAACTGGCTTTTAAGCTGCCTTCCCCCAGCATCATCCCTTGTTCCCCTCCCCATTGCTGACTCATACAGAGGTTAGGATGTGCGGCTGGGGAGCAAGTAGTTGAATACTCTGTTCGACTACCCAATAAGCTTATTCTTACTGGGTAGCTGAGTAGCTGACTACTCGCTAACACCCCTATTTTACATGTGAACATATACATGATGCGAATGATCTAAAATGCACGTACCGTTGAGAGGCTTCAGCAAATATCTGTCGTAATCTTGATTCAGTCTCACCATAAAATCTGGAGAAAAAAAAATCGCAGTATTTTAGTTACAGAACTTCTATTATTTTCCAAGTTGGGGCCAGACTCTTTTCCTTGAGTTTCCAGAAGGTGGCATTCAAATCTTCAAACCATCCCAGGGAATGTTGGCTTATCATAATGGTTATTTTAAATTTGCATTTCCACTAGCATAAGCAATTAAGGCAAAATTTAGACTCTTTTTTTTTTTTTTTTTTTAAATATGACCCATCTGTAGCCAGCAAAAATTTAGAGGGAACATTTTATCTCCATCTAGGGCAGTGTTTCTCAAAATGCTCCGCGAAACCACTTGGAGAAACCTGCTAACTGGCCACTCTGGTGTGTTTACTTACCAGCTCCGCAGTCACGGAGCCTTGTGGTTCCCACTGGCTCCGGTTCACCATTTGCAGCCATGGGAAGCAGTGAGAAACAGTGGACAAAAGGGCCCTGTGACGGACCCGGCGCGGTCCGCACTTGAACCCGCGGGGGAACCCCCCCCCCACGCGGCGGGAAAAGTAACCTGCTAACTGGCCACTCTGGTGTGTTTACTTACCAGCTCCGCAGTCACGGAGCCTTGTGGTTCCCACTGGCTCCGGTTCACCATTTGCAGCCATGGGAAGCAGTGAGAAACAGTGGACAAAAGGGCCCTGTGACGGACCCGGCGCGGTCCGCACTTGAACCCGCGGGGGAACCCCCCCCCCACGCGGCGGGAAAAGT